CCATCTTACAGTGATGACCTGGAGTTGGTTTTATACAGTATTTTATGTTTGCCTATGTTGTAACTAAGACCCATCACTTGGAGTTGGTGTGGAATTTTATACTTGTAGAGTAGTATCTATGTTTTGGAGCATTTTGGATTTGGGGTTTTAGATGAGGATGCTCAGATTGTGTGTAGCTGAAGGTAGGACAAACTTGGATTAAAAAGACAGTAAACAAAAATAAAAGAAACATTGGAAGGAGAACAGGTTCATGGTTTGATCTTCTTGCTGTTATGGTTAAGGACGACAATGACTGCGAACAATAAGCAGAGACAAAATGATTACAGATGAGCAAGGGTCAGCACTAAAACTTCTGACACTATAGAGAAGTTTTCTTATTTAATTAAAAATAATAAAATCTTTTTGTTGCGGTGTAAGTTGAGATGGGTGTATAGTAGAAAGGAATAAAGTAAATTGAATTTAAGTGTCTTTTCCTAATGTCTCTCATCCACTTCTTCCCCCTCTGATTCTCTACATTCACCACTTTGTTTCACTCTTAAGAGGCATCGTGATCTAATTGAAATTATTTCCCAAGACAATGGCCATTTTAAGATTATACATAGTATTCGTATAGTTCATCCTCTCCAAAATTAAGGGAAAATTATGTAATTACATCTATAGTATCTTAAATCACTTCTATGAGAGTCATTAACTCTTCATCATAAATCTTTAAGAAGAAAGCATAGTCAGAAAAATATCTTATTGTCATGTGCTGTCTATAAAGCTCAGGTAAATGTAATATTTAGTGGAGACATATTGGGCATTTATGCCTTGGATTATAGAAAAGACCAAAAAGTCTACTGTTGCCATTTATATATAAAACAATAGCACAGACACAACAAATGTAGTAAGAAATGAGCAATGAAATGCATGAAATAAAATCTTTGATAATAATATTACTATGCATATCCATAAATCAAGGAGACTCAACATAGATACTTGAAAATAATCTCAATAAAATCTCTTCATACACTGAGGATAGAAGAATAGCAACTGAACATTAAAAAACATACAAGTGAATAGAGAGTATACGTGTTCATACTGTGAACTGTTTTTTTAAAAAAACAAATGTATGTATTCTTTGCATGTCCCTATGTACGAGTCTAGTACCATTAAAGGACAGAAGATGGTGATAGATCCACTGAAACTGAAATTAAATATAGATGTGGGGTGGTGAAGAGTACTGACTGATTATTCAGAGGTCCTGAATTCAATTCCCAGCAGCCATATGATGACTCACAACCATTTGTAACGATATCAGATTCCCACTTCTGGTGTGTGTGTTGAACACAGAGCACTCATACATATTAAATAAATAAATAAATAAATAAATAAATAAATAAATAATAGCTGTTCTGTCACCACACAGGGGCTGATAATCAAACTCTTGTTCCTTTTAATATAAAAAAAATACTTTTAAATGCTGGGCTTTCTCTCCAGTGCCAAAATTGAGATTTCAATGTATATCATCTGTAGTTCACGATAAGCTCAATAATGAAAATAATATTCCTAAAAGCAAAGATATCAGCAAAACATTCTGAAAAATAATTAACAAAAGGGAAGGGATCACTGCAATTGGGAGAATGTCATCCATCTCCAGTGAGGGTACCCAGCATTCTTATTCAGAGGAAGAAAAAGTGGCTTTTGTTAACTGGATAAACAAAGCTCTAGAGAATGATGCAGACTGTAGACACTTTCTACCCATGAACCCCAACAATGGCAGCCTTTTGAAATCACTTGCAGATGGCATCCTTCTTTGCAAAATGATCAATTTATCTGAACCAGATACAATTGATGAAAGAGTGATCAATAAGAAGAAGCTCACTCCATTCACAGTGTCAGAAAATCTGAACCTAGCCCTGAATTCTGCCTCAGCCATTGGTTGCACCGTGGTCAACATAGGTGCTCAGGATCTCAAGGAAGGAAAGCCTCACCTGCCCTTGGGGCTTGTCTGGCAGATCATCAAAGTTGGTCTTTTTGCTGATATAGAGATTTCCAAGAATGAAGCCTTGATTGCATTGCTAAAAGAACGGGAGGAACTGGAGGAGCTGATGAAGCTTTCTCCTGAGGAGCTGCTGCGATGGGTGAACTACCATCTGACAAATGCAGGCTGGCGCACTATCAACAATTTCAGCCAGGACATTAAGGACTCAAAAGCCTATTTCCACCTGCTTAATCAGATTGCTCCTAAAGGTGACCGAGACAATGAGTCTGACATAGCCATTGATCTTTCAGGATTTAACGAGAAAAACGACCTGAAGCGTGCTGGATTCATTCTCCAGGAAGTTGATAAGCTTGGCTGCAGACAATTTGTCACTCCTGCAGATACGGTTTCAGGGAACCCTAAGCTAAACTTAGCCTTTGTAGTGAATCTTTTTAACACATACCCATGCCTACACAAGCCTGACAACAATGACATTGATCTCAACTTACTGGAAGGAGAGAGCAAGGAAGAGAGGACATTTCGGAACTGGATGAATTCACTGGGGGTGAACCCGTACATCAATCATCTGTACAGTGACCTTGCAGACGCTTTGGTGATCTTTCAGCTCTATGAGATGATCCGCGTGCCAGTCAACTGGAGCCATGTCAAAAAGCCTCCCTACCCTGCTCTGGGAGGAAACATGAAGATTGAAAACTGTAACTATTCAGTTGAGCTTGGGAAGAATGAGGCCAAATTCTCTTTGATTGGCATCGCTGTGCAGGACTTAAATGAAGGGAATTCAACACTTACCCTGGCACTGGTATGGCAGTTGATGAGAAGATACACGCTGAAAGTGTTATCAGACCTTGGAGAAGGTGAAAAAGTCAGTGATGATATCATCATTAAATGAGTCAATCAGACCCTTAAAAGTGCAAACAAAAGTACTTCTATTTCCAGCTTCAAGGATAAATCTATTAGTACAAGTTTGCCTGTCTTAGATCTAATAGATGCCATTGCACCAAATGCAGTCCATCAAGAAATGATCAAGAGAGAACACTTGACTGATGAGGACAAACTGAACAACGCTAAATACGCCATTTCAGTCGCTCGGAAGATCGGGGCCCGGATATATGCGCTGCCTGATGACCTTGTTGAAGTGAAGCTGAAGATGGTGATGATTGTGTTTGCCTGCTTAATGGGAAAAGGACTGAACAGACTAAAACAATGAAGCATTTACTATGACCTGCCACGTTATATGCATTGAATGTCTCAGTTTACAGAATTTTGAAATGTATTGGGTGTAAAATCAGAATATCTATATGTTCAAAATAGTTCTGTATCTAATAATGAATAATATTTTGTCCATACCAGTTATAATTTGTCATCTTTTTTGGATAACACAATTGCCTTAACTGTCAATACCAATATAGGAATGTCTTATCAAGCTGCTATTTCATAATTAGATTATTTTATTTCCTAAGTGTCTTACCAAAATAAGACTAATCCTTCTTTTTTCATGGCTCAAAAAAGACATATATAAAGTTTTGTCAAGTCCTTCTATTGAATGTGTTTGGATTTATTTGATGTGTTATTAATTTTGATCAAAAATGTTCCTAAAGTCATAATATGACTCAATCCTTTTAGTTTTTCCCCCTTAACTACCTAAAGTGATCTAAAATTTTCTGTACATTTCTATATCATATAAAAATTGAAAGGGATAATCATAATCCACCAACATTAAACTTTTTAAATATGAGAACTAACTCTTGAATAAACCTCCAAGGTTCACACTTGTTTAAGTTTAGGACCTTTTTACTTAAAGTTTGATTGTAACTCCATTGCTACTTTACATGTCCTAGTTTGATAATACAGCTTTATCTCCAACATTGAGCACAATACTATTTGTTGGTAAGATGTTACATATATGTATTTCTCTAAATCATCTGAGTTACCCACATTTTCTTAAATGGTATTCATTAAGTGGTCAGCCAGCCATTAAGTATTTATTTTGCCTCCACGATGTGTCTGACACTTTTCAGTTGTGGATATCTGATATGTGAAGATATGTTTTGAAAATATTAATTATGAATGTGACTATCGTTATGTTTCACCTAATTCTTTCAAATACTTTCAGCCAAACATTGGATAGAATGTCCCAACTGACACCGATCCTATCCTGCTAATGTCACATTACACTTGCTAGTTTCAGTCTATAGTGAAACCTACATAATTGGAATATGCCCACCAAATGGCTTCATTAGAAAACTGTGTATATAAAAGCTAATGTCTGTTGTTTTTCTTGGTTTTCACAGTCTTGTATAAACTGGAAACATTTAAGGTTTGTGTTCCTTGGGAAGAGTTAAAGCTTGCAACCTCTTTTCCCCAGTAGTTTTAGCAGTAGAGAAATTCTGTTGCTCTTAGTTGAAGCCAGAAATGAGCTCCCCCGCCCTCCACTCTAGTGCCAGTGAGCACTACTGCTATGCAACAAAAGTGCCTTCACTTCCCTCCGTGTGGATGAGTCGTCCGTCCACTGATCAAAGCATACATCAGAGTGAGAGTGTCTATGTCTTTAGGGAAGACTTAAATGAAGTACCAACAGGTGGGATTCTGAAATATATTCTTCTACATGAAATTTCTTTGCCTTTTATATTTTGATGACTGTTTTTTTATATGAAGATATAAGTTTATTTCTTCTCTTTTCCTGAGATTACTTAAATGATGCCACTCTGATTTTTTTCATTATCATATTTATTAAAATAATCTGATTTACATGGAATTTAGCACTTTAAGGTGTTCTTTTTCTCACAAAGTATATTTAACAAAAATGCTGTGTAAGTAATATATATATATATATATATATATATGAAAATAATATTCCTGAAAGAGTTTCTAAAGTTGATAAACTCAGACTACAATTTTTGTAGATAGTAAAAGTACAGCATAAGTAGGAAAACTGGAACAATGGAAAGATAGCATTCTACCTTCTGACTTTATTCTGTATTGTATGAAATCAGAGTGATCAAGGCTGTTGTGCGCTACTGTATCAGAAGTCATTGAGGGTGGGTCTTTTGTGTCCTAAAAGTGTCAGTAGAAGGCAGAGAAAAGAGAGGTTATGTCCACGCTCAGCTCACTGTCCTGACCTATGAACACCTGAATGATTAGTAGCCTAACATTCCATATGTAAGCCAAAGACAGCCTGACTGACATGAGGCAAGAGCAGATAGTTTTCCAGGAAGGTAATCCAGAGACTAGAAGAAACATTCTTATGACAACAGCAATGGGCATGAGTGAGTCTGAGAGAGACAAATCATTCAAGGGGCCACTAAGGTGGACAAGGTGGGGAATGAGCCCAAGGTAACCACCAGACAAGTACCATGAGGCCAGGACAGGGAGCTGTTCTGATAAAACCACCAGTCTGAGACCATAGTAGGTGAGCAGGGCATAGCACACCTAAGACCACACTTGACATGATCAAAGACTCTCAGAGAGACCTGTGACATCTGAGAAATTTTTAGAATGAGTGATTCATGAGGAGAAGCAGCTGGGGCACCCAAACCTCTCACTTCTGCTTCCATGGGGTTTGTGTTATGACTTGTATCACTGTGGGAGGAAACGCATTATACTGTAGACAGTAATAGACTGCAAAATCATCAGACTCCAGGCTACTGATGCTGAGAGAATATTCTGATCCAGACCCACTGCCACTGAACCTTGATGGGACACCAGATTCTAAATTGGATGTGGAGTAGATCAGACGTTTAACAGTTCCATCTGGTTTCTGTTGATACCAGTTTAAATTACGGTTAATGCCCTGACTTGCCCGGCAAGTAAGACTGACTCTGTCTCCCAGGGAGGCAGACATGGATGTTGGAGACTGGGTCAACTGGATGTCACATCTGCCACCTAGGAGTGGAGACATAATATCCACATAGTATGATAAAACAGGACATTCCCCCAAAATGCTAGTCAACACTAATTACAGTGAAATGCACATTTTAGTTCATTTTACCTGGAAAACAGAGCAACAAGAACCCAAGAAATTGAGCAGGGGCCCTCATGTCCATGCTGAGTCCTGACTGCAGTGAAATGGCACAGGGTGTTGCTGGTATATGAAGAAGTCCCGATGGCTGTGCAGAAAGTGCATGCAAATCACTGGGAACCAGTTACCACTGGTCACACCTGTAAGGCTTAAGCCACATCTGCATATAGCACAAGCCCAGTGTCCCTACATGCCTGAGGTCTAACTATTTGTATATCTCTAGAGAATGAATTTCTATTCAAAGATTTATAATTATAGATGACATTTCTAATGTATGTACTCTCAATTTTAAATAACATATTTCAAAGATATACTGGGGTAATATAGAAGAATATCCTGCTGTCAGGGAATATACAACAGAGAAAAAACTATTAGATCTTTAACTCATTCAAATAATTCTGATAAGTTAGAAAATATTATGTGTTCCCCTGTGAAGTATTTGGAGTAGGCATTCCTTGAAATTAAAAGGACAATTTATCAAAACCACTTTCAATGAATAAAAGCATAAAAATTTACCGCATTAACTTTGATAACTACAGTCCAAAGAGAGGAAATACAGAGCACATACACATATAACACCTTGGTCTGAGCAACCTGTATTACTGAAAGTTCTGACTCATGTGAAGATAGAGATAGTTTCATACATAGAGAATAAATGAGTACACCTTTTGCTCAGCTTGGGATCCTCCATAAGTTGTTTTGCTACCATTTGCTAGTTTTTCCCACAATTCCTAAGAATACGGGGTTGATTACTGAGGAACGACTTGAATACTGTCACAAAAACACTGCTACTGGATCCATGGCTCTTTTGTGTACTACAAATGATAGTGTTACCTTTCATTCTTGAGCAGTAACTGGAGAAATTACCCTTAATCAAGCAGCAACATCATTGTCTGCTCGAAGCAACCTAAGGATTTCCTGAATCCAGAGAATTCTTGGGGTCTTTTACAAACATACCTATGAAAGACAAGAGATTGTTACAGAATGCCATTGATTTTTCATGGGCTTGAACGTGAGTGATGGATGAGTAAAAACCCCTAGTCATAAGACAGCTTCTTCAGCATACACAGCACCATCCCCATCAGGAGTACAACACAGCCGCTCTTGGGTGGACTAATAGTAATGCACCTTCTGTGCCTCTTCCCTGCACTCTCTTTCTGCTGATACCTAACTCCTGTATCTCTGTTTCTGATTTGTGAGGCTTGGAAGATATTTCTGAGTTCTCACATAACAGCCCCAGGATCTTAAGAAGATTCACTCCGGACATTTTTAGTGGATGTTAATTGCAGGATTACAGTCCCTTTCAACTTAAAATAAGTGAGTCATTAGTTTGAAGGGAATCAGGGATCCAAATTCTTACTAAGCCTCCATTATTGATATATGTAAACATATAGGGAATTCCAAAACCACTCAACTTTCCTTTATCAATGCGCCTTAGACTGCATTAAGTACTAAATGATTTTAATTTTGGATTATACCTCCCTCCAAAAATGTGCATTGATGGTACAGTAGTAAGCACTGGGGACTTTTAAAGCATTCAAAAGCTTCTTAGGAAACTCTAACTCATACATATTGAGTAAATGCCTATACACCTTGAGAATCATGTGTGTTCCTACTATGTTGCTTAATAAATAGTCCCTCTGATTTTTTTTAGACTTCAAAATGATAACATTTTCCCCCTTTCGAATTCCTCCCCCAGAAACCCCTGTCCTATCCCCTCTCCTCCTTTATGCTTTTATACCATTTTGATTACATGCATGTATTAAGGTCAGTTCCAGGTTGAGGAACTAGCAATGCAATATATGCAAATAGTTAAGGAACAAGCAAGACAATAGACACAAATAGTCAAAGACAAGCAAGGCAATAAACAAAGTTCCATGAGCACTCCAGTGATCATTGTTTCTAAGCGCTCATCAGTATAACCAAAATATCTGAGCCTACTTTCCTTTCCTATCCCAAAGCCATGTCTGAACGCCGGGAGCCAACCTTACTCTATTTTGAAAGAATAGTTTTAGGTTTTGTTTTTCCTCAGCTATTGACTCCTGAGAAAGCAGATAGCCAATGATAGCTGTACCCTAAGGAAAGTGGTTGCTGAGCACTGAGCCAGACAAAAACATTGGCAGTTGTGAGATACCTGCCATGACAAAACACCCAGCTTCTGTGAAATACCCCCAAACACATTATCACTTTCCCTGCCTGTATAAATTGCCTGAGAAAATACAGCTTGATGGAACTTGATCAGAAAACTTGTATTGTTCTCATTCTTTGCACCTCCTGTCCCTTTCATTCTCTCCCCTTATCTCTTAGGGTATACTGTTGAAGACCCCACAGGCCTGGGCATCTGAAGCCTACTTCCTTGTTCTAGCCTAAAATTTACATTCATGTCTGAAGTTACTTCTTTGTTCTAGCATAATATTTAGATTCCTGCCTGAAATTACTTCTTTGTTCTAGTCTAAGATTTAGATTTCTATATAAAATTATTTCTTCTTTCTAGCTTAACATTCGATTCCTGCCTAAAGCCTACTTCCTTGTCCTTGGCCAATGTCATATTCCTGGCAAGCAGCCTATTTCATTGTCCATGGACCATGTCAGATTCTTGCCAAGCAGCCCCAAGGGTTCTCGACCTCTCCCTCCTTTTTATTTCATTAACAAGACTGAGCCTGTCTTAGGTCGTTCTGACAAGAATGCCTTCCTTACCCATCATGAAATATGCATTATCAAAAGCAATGCACTTATGTCTTAGGTTGGTAAGTCTCTGTGCAAAATCTTACCTGTTCTTGGCTTGCTAGCTTGTTAATTTAATAACTCTGTCTGGAGGTCCATTTTCAGGTTCAAGGTGTGTACTTGGCTGCCAACATTTTGATGTTGTTGAAGAAAGGCTTTAACACAATGGGCAGGAATAAAAGTATTCCCAGGACAAAAAAAATGAGAGAATTTTAAGGAGGAGATAGGAGCAAATAGTTCAGCAATAATGCATCTCAATTAAACCTCCCATAACTATCCAAATCTAGGCTCTAGTACTTTTTCAGTGAAATTGACATGTCAAAAGGACTTGTCAGATGTAGTTAAGTTATGAGTTTGAGATGGTATGGACATTCTGAAATATATGGGAAATAAATATAATCACATGTTTTTTTTTTTTTTTTCTAGTAGGCAGAGAAGGAGTTGATCTATATAGAGTGGTTGTTACAGTGAGAAAGATAGCAGAATTGTGGGAGATAGTGCAATTCTTTAGGTTAATATGGTACTTTCTTGGAAGAATAAATATTAGCATTAGACTGTGATCCCCAGAGTATACAAGATGATCACAAATCTACTCATCCATGAGTTTAATTCAGGAGACTGCTGACTTCCAGTACTGTAAGGAAAATATTTCTTAATCAATTTTGAAGATACTTGCATTTAGCTACAGAAAACTAATGGAAAACATTCTTTGCCTCCTCTGTGCATTTCTAAAATACTTTTCAGTTGATGTCATTGTGAAAATAGCTTTACTTTAAGATGAGAGAGTTCAAGAATTATGCTTGGCCATAAAATATTGTTTGAGCTGTGAATAGCTGTGGGGAAAATGTGAAAAATTAAGTTTCAAAGAGCATATTATTCTCTTGTCTCACAGAATCGCAGATTCCTAAACACCATGACACCAATGTAATGTTTCTGGGCATGGATTGAAACAGAGTACAGTGCTGGAGGGTACATGAAGTAGAGAAGCTTTGTTCAATGAATATAAGAAATGTAGGGTGACTTAGAGTACTATAGGCCAAGTACTAAGGACAAAAACAAACAAACAAAATGGGGTGGTTGGGGAGACTTTTCTCCAGAGGTCCTCTGCAATTACTTCTGTTCCTAGCTAGGTGCTCATTTTCTTCCACTTCCTAGTGTTTCCTAATGATATATACACATATTAAGGATTGAGTTTTCAACATAGGCACTTGGGAAAATACTACAGATTCAACTGTAACACTACTTTCCTAGCGCAAAAGATGCTCATCCTCATCTTAAAAAGAAAAATATATTGAGTCAATTCATGACTCTGTTAGTCCTTACAACCCCTGAATTTTTAAAAGTCAAGTCAAAATTCTCCCTGGAAAACACAAGAAATGTTTTTATCAGTAAGAACATGTAAAATCTTCACAAAGAGAAGCTGATTGTTGAATTAACTGTTGGTAATGATAGAATATTTTACACCTATTCAGAAGGATATTCTGTGTGAATCTAGTCTGTGCTACATATAGAGATCATGTCTCAAAAGGAAAGAAAGAAGAAAGGTGGGAAATGAGCTTCCAACTGACAATGGAACGTGGTAGAGATTCCCATTTCTAAATGAACATATAAAAAAAAATCCCAAGCAATAAGGAAATGTGTAGCAGGATAACATCCCAGTACATTTGTATAAAGCTCAGTGATTGGCCTGTATGAGAGGGAGAGGAGAAGGAAGAGGAGGAGCTAGGAAAAGATGTAGGAGCCATGGATAGCCACAAATGTATCAAGAACTGTAGAGAGCCGTGGAAGGCAGAGACAGCGCTGGCAATCTGATACTCTCACAAGTTTTGTAATTTACTGCCTTTGTGTAAGGGGAAAGTGCGGGAAGTCACAGCCCATCCTGGGGCATATAGGATTTTATGGGCAAATAACCAACCAGATATGTACACGCCACTCCAGGGGGTATTTAACAAGGACCTTCTCGGGGCTCGGGGCCTTTTCTCCCAGCCGGTTTTCCACCAGCCGGCCTTTTTCCAGCGGGTCTTTCCTCTATAACATCGTAATAAAGATCTGCTGAAGAACTTTGGTGTCTGTGTGTGACCTCGCTGGTGAGTGCACACCCCGAACAAAGAACAGTCCTGGATAACAATTTGTATTTAGGTTAGTTAATTTGTTAACACTTCTAATTGTGTGGACATCTTGTTATTTGAGCTAAAAAATATATAAAGCTATTGGATAATCTTTAAACATTAGAGTCTCATTTCTACCAGGTACTGTGTGGATGACAGGATGGTCTGGGCTCACCCCAGCCTTGTGGAAACAGTATGGT